GTCCTGTGGGTGCTAGGAATTGAACCCAGGTCCTGTGCAAAAGCAACAAGTGCTCTTAACCATGTCTCCAGCCCTCCTAATGCCTCATTTAAAAAAGAATTATATTTACTTAGGGGTGTGTGTGTGTGTGTGTGTGTGTGTGTGTGTGTGTGTGTGTGCAGAGGTCAGAGGACAGCTTCTTTCAGGAGTCAGTTCTCTCCTCCCAACACGGGTGTTCTGGGGGTTAAACTCTGTCATCAGGTTTGCAGCAAGTATTCTTTTCCTCTGACCACATCACTGGCCCTAATTCTTCATTTTGCATTTGGGGAAAACCAGGTCCAGAGAGCAACACTGACTGTTCTAGGCTCCTGGTTCTCATGTCGTCACAGTGGTCTCTGGCACTTTCCTCACTCCTTCAACAAAGACTTATTAAGAGCCTGCTACAGGACTGACCTACTCTGGTGATGGGATGGCCAAACACCCTAATAGCTGTGCCATAAACCCCATCCAAGGACTGAGGAATCTGGATGCGGACATCCATGGCTGGGCCCCGGGTGGAGCGCTGGGAGTCTAATTAGTGAGAAGGAGGAGGGTTTATATGAGCGAGAATTGTTGAAATCAAGGTTGGATAAAGCACAGGGACAAATAACCAAATGAATGGAAGCACAGGATCTATGAACCAAGGGCTGGGGGGTTCCCGGCTGGATCGAGCCCTCTGAATGGGTGAGACAGTTGATTGGCTTGATCTGTTTGGGAGGCATCAGGGAGGTGGTGCCGGGTCCTGGGCTCGTTGCATGAGTTGGCTGTTTGAAGCCTGGGACTTGTACAGGGACGCTTGGCTCAGTCTGGGAGGAGGGGACTGGACCTGCCTGGACTGAGTCTATCAGGTCGATCCCAGTCCTCGAGGGAGGACTTGTCCTGGAGGAGGTGGGAATGGGAGGTGTGCTGGGGGGAAGGGGAGGGGGACAGGAAGGGAGAGAACAAGGGAATCTGTGGCTGTTATATAGAACTGAATGGTATTGTAAAATAAATAATAATAATAATAAAAAAAAATTAGGCAGAGAAACATAAACAACAACAACAACAACAAAAAAAAAAGAGCCTGCTATGCGCCAGGACTACTGCTGAAGTGAGCTGAGCAACCAGATCTGCTTCTCAGAGGCAGACACACAGAAAGGATTAAGGCCTGAGGCAATAATGACAGAACAATACTAACTCCTGGAAAGGAGGGGAGCCAGTTGCTATAAGAGATGCAAAGCCTGGGGTGTAGCCCAGTAGAACCCTTGCCTAGCAAGGTCCTGGGTTCATATCCAGCATGGGGGTTGAGGCATAATAGGCAAAACCTCTCTGAGGGGGCCAATTAAACTGAGTTGGGTTCATATATATATGTATGTGTATATGGGTGTATGTATGTACAGGAATGCAGATGTCTGCAGAGGCTAATGGCTATAGGTACCCCAAACTCTGATCCTCTGGAAGAGCAGTATATGCTGCTGTGGAATAATCCCTTTGTACACTGTGAAGATTTGTTGCTGTGATTGGTTTACTAAACAAGCTGACTGGCCAACAGCCAGGTTAAGGTTATACAGGAGAGCCAGCTAGAAGAATGCTGGAAGAAGGGCAGAGTCAGGAGTCGACAGGGAGATGCAGAGGGAGCAGATGAGCGTGTCATGCTAATAATGGTACCACCATGTGACAGAGCATAAACAAAGAATATGAGTTAACTTAAAATGTAAGAGCTAGTTAGTAATAAGCCTGAGCTACTGGCTGAGCATTTACAAATAATATAAAATCTCTGTGTGGTAATTTGGAAGCAGCTTCCAGGACAGGGAGTGGGGCATCAGGATGGGAAAACTCCAATTACAAATGCCTCTTAACCACTGAGCCATTTCTCCATTCCTGTTGTTGTTTTTATTTGTTTTTTTGATAGTATCTCTATACTGGTTAGGTTTATTGTCAACCTGAAAAAAGCTAGAGATAACTGAGAAGAGGGAACCGCAACTGAGAAAATGCCTCCATTATATTGCCCTGTAGGCAAGCCTGATGGTCATTTCCTTGATTGATGATTGATGTGGAAGGGCCCAGCCCACTGTGGGCGGTGCCATCCCTAGGCAGGTGATCTTGGGTTGTATAATAAAGCCAACTGAGCAAGCCAGCAGGAGTAAGCCAATAAGCGACGTTTCCTATGATCTCTGCTTCAGTTCCTGCCCTCACTCCCCTTAGCAATGCAATGTTACATGGAAGACTAAGATAAAATAAGCCCTTTCCTCCTCAGATTGCTTTTGGCCATGATGGATTTCAAAATAATAAAAAGCAAACCAAGGCAGTTTCTGACCCAGACTAGTTTCAAACTAGCTATAAAGCCAAGGATGACACTGAACTTCTGATCTTCCTGCTTCCACCTCCCAAATGACATTATAGACATATACGACAACACCTGGTTTATGTGGTGCTGAGGACTAAATCCAGGGCTTCATGCACACTAGGCAAAGATTCTCTCCCAACCCTAAACTGAGTTCTGAAGGATAAGTAAAAACAAGATGGATTAATAACCTGATGTGGTGGCACAGGCCTTTAATCCAGCACTCAGAAGGCAGAGGCAGGTGGATCTCTGTGACTTCAAGGCTGGCCTGGTCTACAGAGTGAGTTCTTGGATAGCCAGGGCTGTGTAGAGAAACCCTATCTCCAAAACAAAAATGAACTAACAGAAGGACAGAAGGGAAGGAAGAACATCACTGATGTGTGTCTCTGTGTGTGTGATGAACTGTATTGACTGTTATGTGATTGTTTTATTATTGTTACTGAGACAAAGTCTCTCTAAGTAGCCCAGCCTGGCCTTGAACTGCAAATCCCCCTAGCCTGGGATTACAGTCCTGTCCCTATAGGGTTTTAAGGAAGTACTAGGATCATTTAATTTTCTGTGAGGAGAATGGATTGGAGAGGCATGACAGATTACAGTACAACAGACCAGCAACAGAGAAGTGGGCTAGACAGACGGTGGAGGAGGCAGGGATGGTGAACAAGTGTGAGAATCATTGGAAGGCTAGGTCACAAGGACCCGGTGATGGACAAGAGGGCAGTGGGGAGAGAATCAGGAGGTGTCAAGAGTAACTCAGAAAAGCTGAGCCGGAGCATAGCTCAGTGGTACAGCATCACCTGATGTAAGAGAATCTGGGTTTAATCCTCAGCAATGTAAATGAATAAAAAAATAAACATCCTACTTGAGTAGACAGATGGTGGTGGCATTTATAAAGAAAGATAAAGGATTCCAAGGAGGAAACAGGTTTGGGCAGAAAAGTTAAGTTCAATTTTGGATGTTGGATAGATCAAACAGAGAAGTGGATTCATATTTTTGGAATTCAGAAAAAAAACTAAATGAAGTAAAATGGAGTGCTGGTGCTCCTCAGTATTATTAACTGTACAGGGAAATGAGATGGAAGGGGCATGAACCTGAGCTATGAATCAGGGGACCTGGCTTTTAGTCCTCCTCACAAGTCTGTCACTAAGGAACCTCTCTCTGCTGTTTGTTTTGTGGTTTTTGTTTGCTTGTCTTTTTCTTCTTCTTCTTCTTCTTCTTCTTCTTTTTTTTTTTTTGAGACAGAGTTTCTTTGTGTAGCTTTGGTGCCTGTCCTGGATCTCGCTCTGTAGATCAGGCTGGCCTCGAACTCACAGAGACCCGCCTGGCTCTGCCTCCTGAGTGCTGGGATTAAAGGAGTGCGCCACCGCTGCCCGGCTTGTTTTGTTGTTGTTTTTTAAAGATTATTTGTTTATTATGTATACAATGTTCTGTCTGCATGTGTGTCTGCAGGCCAGAAGAGGGCACCAGATCTCATTGTAGATGGTTGTGAGCCACCATGTGGGTGCTGGGAATTGAGCTCAGCACCTCTGGAAGAGTAGCCAGTGCTCTTAACCACTGAGCCATCTCTCCAGCCCCCTTGTTTTGTTTTGTTTTGTTTTTTTTAAACATGGTCTCTGGAGTTCAGGTTGGCTAGAAACTCCTTACAGATTATAGTCAAAGATGACCTTGAACTCCTGATCCTCCTTCCTTCTCTCCCCCCCCCTTTTTTTTTTTGACAAGATCTCAGGTAAACCCAGCTGCGCCTGAACTCTACAAGCTGAAGTTGGCCTTGAACTCCTGATTCTCCTCTCTCCAGTTCCCAAGGTTCGCACCACATGCCCAGCCCGGTGGGCATTACTTTTTATCTGATGAACTGCTCTGCCTGTTAGAATTACCAGCACAGTCCAGGAGTAAGTGACAGGAACCTCAAGTCCATCTTGATCTGTCTCACCCTGGGCACCCTGACCAGCACTGAAAATAAGTGGAACGCCAAATCCAGGGCAGGAGGGGGTGAAAAGCCTAGACAGCTGACTTTTCTTCCCTCCCAGGCCCCACCGGAAGCTAGTTTAGAAACTGAAACGAAACACCTCCACACACAGGTAAAACAGCGTGCAACTGCGGCTGCGCAGGCGCAAAAAAAAAAAAAAAAAAAAAAAAAAAAAAAGCAGGCCTGGCTCTGGGATTCGAACCGGCCTGCACACACTGTGGCGCAGTCACACAGTTCTAAGCCTCAGTGCCTCCCTCCCTAACGAGGTCCGTAAGCCTGTCAGGAAATGCCCGGAGGACCCCCTTTTTAGACATTAGGCTGGGACTCGCTGCCGGTCCAGTATATGGCGGAGCCTAGAGAGCCGGGACCAGGCGCGAGGACCGAAGAGCTGCCATGCCCGCTCAGGTTCTCACCTCTTTGTCTGCCGCCTTCTCCTCAATGCCAAGCAGCGCGTACAGATCCATTTGTAAGAGCTCTTTAGTCACCGCCATGGTTCGAGCCCCGACCGAATGGGTACTACAATTCCCAGGAGTCTGAGCGCGCACTGGCTGGGGGCCGGCCCAACGGCGCTAAGGCCCCTGGGAATCGGCGCGATCCGGTTGAGGTTTGACTGACTATGGAGGAGCGCGCCGCGGGAAATGAACTACGACTCCCAGCATGCCACACTCCGCGGCCGCCCGCGGGGTGGTGAGCGGAGAGAGTCAGAATTCCCCGCCGCGCAGGGCGGCGGCTGCATGGCGCGGGTGGGCGTGTAGAGCTGGGCTGCGTAGGCTTGAGGGTCTGATCGGCCTGCGCTGCGCTGGTGAGAGGCTGTCCCTCGGATCTGTGGCGCCGGGTCGCCATGGAGAGCAGGTGCTACGGCTGTGCTGTCAAGTTCACCCTCTTCAAGAAGGAGGCGAGTGTTCTCCTAGAGAGCTGGAGGGCCAAGGGAGGACGCGGGGCGAACGGAAGAGCACGGGACTTGCAGGCCCAAGACCCAGCTTGGTGTGGTTTTGACGAAGTAACCCCGTTAACATTTCTGTAAAGTGGGGCGAATGCCCACTCGCTTTCTGGGTTAAGATGATGGTATGATGAGATCCAGCGAGATGGCTCTGCGGGTAAGCGCACTTGCCGCCAAGCCGGGATGACCTCAGTTCGAACCCCAGGAAGGAGAGAACTCCCGCAAGTTATTCCCTGATCTCCACACACGTGCCATGGCATGCACGTGTCCACACACACACTCACAAAGAAATAATGTAATTAAAATAAAATTTTAAAGGGGTTTGGTGAGGGGCTGGAGCTGAAAGCACCCTAAAATGATAGTGTATTACTGTCAGGTTCCAAAAGCACACTTTTTTTTTTTTTTAAACCGCCCAGTGAAGCATCTGCTTCCTGCTTCTCCATTCTCTGCTTTTCTCCATTTCGGTCTTTTAATGTCCTGTGACCGCTGTGTGTCACACCGTGCCCGTTACTCTCTGTTCTGAAACCTGCCTCATAGGCAGCCTGCCTTTACCCAGGTTAGATTACAATTATTTCCTCTTTCTCCCAGGGCGCAATGGAAAGGCCTTCTTGTTCTCAACACAGACTTACCAGGTCCTCCTTGTAAGCTTCTGGGGAGACAGTGGGAAATAAGTGGGATGAATTCATGATATGCAGGACTAGAGCACTTCAGGAGCATGAATTTTAGAGTCAGGGTTCAGATTTCAGCGGCCCTGTCTTATGCACGAAAAGACCTAAATTGAACAAGTCCTGTAATTTCTCTGGCCCCTGTTAAAATAGAGATACTAATGGTGGGCATCAGGACCAAATATGATAATGTGTGTAAATTATGACAGTTAGGTCAGATGACGGATTTTAAGGTCCAAGCTGTGTGCCTGGTACACACTAAGTACTTAATAACTGAAGCTATTGTTACCACCCTATCCTGAGCCAACCTCCCGCCCCCATCTTGCCAGAGCAGAGAAAGCATAGCATCTGCACTGGGTCTGATTCTCCTTTGTTGACTAGCCAGCGATCTGACTCCCAGGGCTCTGTTTGTCTTCATTGTTCACCCCCATGGTAAGACATTGAAAATGGTAGAAAGCATGTGAGTTTTGCCTGAAATTTTATCTGACTTGAAGAAGACCCTGAAAACCAAGGAACTGCTGTGCCCTCTACCCCTCTCTCTCCCCGGACCCTAGGGATCCCACTGCTCTTCCTTCCTCCAACATCTGGTCACAACTTCAATTTCTTCTTTCTGTGAGTGCTTACTTAGAGAGTCCCAGAGAAGAGCCGATAGGGTTGGGTGAGAGATGGAGCGTCCTGCTTTGTGTTTCTTACAGTACGGCTGTAAGAACTGCGGTCGGGCCTTCTGTAATGGCTGTCTTAGCTTCAACGCTCTGGTACCTCGGGCTGGCAACACTCAACAGAAAGTCTGCAAGCAGTGCCACGCAGTCCTGACCAGGTGAGAGAAAGGCATGGCCAAGGGTTCAGACAGACACGACAGTCAGCATCTGAGCAGGCCTGTGGCCTTGTGATCCCTGGCCAGAGGCCTGCCTAGGAAGTATTTGGGGTAGAAATCACTGACGATGGGACTTCTCACACTACATTTCCTCTCTAGAGGATCTTCTGACAATACCTCCAAGTGGTCGCCACCTCAGAACTACAAGAAGTAAGTACTGACAGCAAAGGACAAGGACCCCAGCAGCAGGACCCTGGTCCCCAGATCACATGGGTACAGGCTAAAGAGAATGCCCACCTCCGGTCTCCTGGCTCCCTTCTCAGATTCTGAAAGCAGCTCATTAACCTGTTCTCAGAACAGGCATTTGGGAACTCTTCCCTCTCAGGCAGACCTTCAGCTGGTCAGCTGGGCCTGGCTGCAGTACCACGTAAATAGAGGCCCCAGACGATGGCCTCTCGAGGCCCCAGTTGATCTGGATGGGTGCCTTCAGCCTTCCCCTTTGCCTTAAGAGTATCTACCTCATGTCCTGCCAGGCGTGTGGCAGCCTTGGAAGCCAAGAAAAAGCCCAGCACTCTCCAGAGCCAGGGCCTAACGCCACAAGACCAAGCCATCGCTGACCGCCTGGCGCGGCTCCGTCAGGAAAACAAGCCCAGTGAGTTGAAGTGGGCAGGGGTGTTGCTGGAGAGCTTCTCTCCAGGTTCCCCAAGCCCCGCAGTCCCACAATCCACATATAAAATAATCACTCAGACGCTTATATCACTTATAAACTGTATGGCCGTGGCAGGCTTCTTGCTAACTGTTCTTTTATCTTAAATTAACCCATTTCTATAAATCTATACCTTGCCACGTGGCTGGTGGCTTACCAGCGTCTTCACATGCTGCGTGTCCTGGCGGTGGCTGTAGTGTCTCTCCTCCTTCTTCCTGTTTCCCCAATTCTCCTCTCTCTTTGTCCCGCCTATACTTCCTGCCTGGTCACTGGCCATCAGTGTTTTATTTATATAGAGTGATATCCACAGCACAGGGGGACCTCAAAGGCACAGGGCAGGCCTGGGGACTGCGCTGCCTCTGGCCCTTACAAGCCCTCTGCTTGCCACTTGCAGAGTCGGTGCCCTCCCAGGCGGAGATAGAGGCGCGACTAGCCGCACTGAAGGGTGAAGTCCAGGGCTCCGTCCCTTCCACGGAGGAGATGGAGAACCGGCTTGCAGCATTACAGGGCAGAGCGTTACCTTCTCACGCCGTGAGACCGGTGAGTGGCGTGGCGTGGGCAGAAGGGTTTCCTAGGGCAAGCACCCTACAGAAGCCCAGCTACATGTATGATCGATGATGTGCTTTGCAGGAGTTAGTAAGGCCTCCCACCCCTACCTCCTGAGCCCTAGGCTGCTTTCAGGCCACAGAACAAGTGCCCAGCAGCAGGACTGAGTACGTCAGCAGAGAGTGGATACTCAGTCCTGCTGGGAGCTGCCAGACCTACTCACCTGGGTGGACCTGAACTCATCCCTTCCCGTGGGCTTCGAAAACTCCTCAGCAACCAGCCCCGACTCAGACTTCTGGACTTCCGGTGTGGCCTTCCCCACACTCCTATCCCCCCACTGAGGTCCCCACCTTCACACAGGCACACCAGGCACCAGACACCAGGACCCAGGCTCAGCAGACACAGGATCTGCTCACACAGCTGGCAGCTGAGGTGGCTATTGATGAAGGCCGGGAACGAAGAGGCCCAGGTAACCTGTCCACTTGGCTTCTGCAAAGTCCTGCCCTGCCTCTCCCGCCCACCCTCTTGGGAGGTGAATATGAGTCAGAGAGTGGTCGTCAGCACTGAAGAGCTTCTGGGTACCGAGTGCTTGCTCCAAGGGGAGCCAGTGTAAGCCTCTTGTACTGGCTCTACAGTTAGATGGGGCACCCCAATCCCACCACCTTACATGAGTTCTTTCACCCGTCTAAATCTCTCTAATCTGTAAACTCAAGCCGTGTGATAAAACCTATCTGGTAGAAGGTGGTAGAAGCCATGGGGAATAAGCGGAGTAACACAGTCAGTGCCTGGCTCGTATGAAGTTCTCAGTGTTGTCTGCAGTGAAGACCCGATAATGGGTACGGGGCTTACAGGAAAAGAGTTAAGTTCCGGTCGCCTCCTACTGCCAGCCACATTCAACCACTGGCTACCCATGTGCACTTGCGGCAAACATCACGGACAGCATGAACCTGGGACATGCTACAGAGTGTTCTCAACATCACAGGGGACTCTTTTTTTTGTTTTGTTTTGTTGTTTGGTTTTTTGAGACAAGGTTTCTCTGTGTAGTTCTGGTGCCTGTCCTGGACTAGCTCTGTAGACCAGGCTGGCCTCGAACTCACAGAGATCCGCCTGCCTCTGCCTCCTGAGTGCTGGGATTACAGGCGTGCGCCACCACCGCCCGCCATCACAGGGGATTCTTGGACAGTGGTATATGGAGGCTCCAGAGCAGTTTTCCAGCTCGGGATGATTTTTTACCTCTGGGGCACTTTTGGAAATGTTTGAAGACATTTTTGTTACCACAGTTCACAGGTGCTCCTGGCGTCTGGTAGGTGGAAGGCAGGGATGCCGCTGGGCACGCGATTGTGCCGTTGTCTGCTCCCCACCCCTAAAAGAGAACTGTCCCCTTAAACGTGCCCCAAGAACTAAGACTGATACACTGCATTATAGACACAGTCTCAGATCTGACGGAGGACTGTTGTTATGTATAACGGAAGAAACAGACCTGGTAAGCTTAGGTCACGGGCACACAGCCCTTAACTGGCAGGGATGAGCCTTCTACGTAAAGCTATTCTTGCTTTTGTTTGTTTTATTTTATGAGATGTGTCCTCGTGTAGCCCTCATATAGCCGGCCTCAAACATGGATGACCACGAACTCCTGATCTTCCTGATTACAGGAAGTCCTTTCAGGAGTGCTCCGTCATGGCCGACTTGCTTTTAAAGCTCCTGCTCTGAAATTCTAAACTAAAGGTGACCATGTCAGAGCCACGTCCACTCTGATCAGATTTCTTCTTGCCCATTATCTACGACTGCTGCTTCCTTCAGGACCTCTCGCTGTTGCTCCCAGAAAATGTTAATTGCAGCCCAGAAAGACGTAGACTAGCTAAGCCTTAGCCCCCCATGTCTGAGCCTTGATTCTTAAGGCCTAGGATAGCCACCCTATATTAGCTGGGTGGCTGGGGGTTGATGCATTTGAAAAAGCACAACTAAAATTACTGGTCTTGCCAGGCATGATGGTACACACTTGTAATCCTAGGAACTGTGAAGCAGAGGCAGGAAGATCGAGAGTTCCAGGCCAGCCTGGACTCTATAGCAAACCCCTATCTTTAATTAAAAAAGATCAAAATAACAAAAAAAGTTACTTTATATTTGGAAAAATGGAAGAAATAGTAATTGTTTATAATATAAGCCTAGTACTGAGCAAAAAATTGATACTGTATGGTTCGAAAATCGTTGAGAAATGGGTTCTGGAATTCTTCTGCCTTCCTAACTGTCTTACCCCTTCCAGTGGCCTCCCCCCAGAATGACCTCAACAAGGGAGGTGGAAGGAACCAGCACACAGATTCCCAGGGGTGGGCCAGCCCAAACCTGGAGAAGGAGAAGAGCAGGTTGCTGGCCGAGGCGGCGGTTGAGCTACGGGAGGAGAACACGAGGCAGGAACGGTTCCTGGCTCTCGCCAAAAGATTGGCTGTCCTTCAGGGACAGGACCCCGACAGAGGTAAAGGCTCAAGCCAGCCTCCTTATCCGGGCCCCTGGCCAAGGCCTGCGCCACCCCAGACCACTCTCCCTGCCAGTGCTGACACAGGTACTGAGGGTCCCTGTGTGCCAAAGGATCTGTCGTGCCCTGTGCAGAGCCCTGAGATGTGACGGGGCAGAGCAGGGTTGAGGACTCGGAGGCAGCCGTAAGAGGCGGTGGGACCTTGGGTCTCTTCGGGTGCTGATGCTTCTCTACTGCCCTGCGAGCTCAGGGCTGACGCTGGGGTAGGGAGGCAGCTTGATTCTCAGCTCTGAAATAGGCGCCCCCAGGGACGCAACAGTTCCAGAAGGCAGGACAGCCGTCTGGTGAGGCCTCTCCCTCACCCCTTCCTCTGTTCCCACCCCTCATTCAAGTGACCCTCCAGGACTATCACCTGCCAGACAGTGAGGAGGAGGAGGACGAAGAGACGGCCATCCAGAGAGTCCTGAAGCAGGTAGCCTGTTACCCACCCCGTTGACCTGCGCTGCCTCTGCCTCACTGCTGAGCCAGCTGTCTGCTCTCACTCACTGGCCTCTAGGGCCACGTGAGTGGACATTCCACAGCTCCAGTTTTAGTTGGGCTCCATATTTCCTCTCTCAAGAAACCAGGAAGATACAGCAGGAGTTACGTAAAGGGTGAAGAGCTGAGAAGTTAGGCCAGAAATGCCAGGAGGGGAGCCTGGGCTTAGAGCAGGAAGTAGTTCTCTTCCTCTGTCTTCGCAGCTCACTGAAGAAGCTGCCCTGGATGAGGCAAGTGGCTTTAACATCCCCGTGGAAGCAGCTCCCCGACCCCGACCCCGGGCCCAACCCAGCAGGGCAGAGACTGAGGTGAGAAAAGCCCCACACAGGCGTCGCCACACTTCCCACAGCCTTGCACCTGGCTCGCTGCTCATCTGTACTCGACTTCCCCCATTCCTCTCTTCCTGAAGACCCAGTCCCTGCCTCCTGGGCCCCAGGCTGAGGAAGAAGAGCTCCCCTGGTGCTGTATCTGCAATGAGGATGCTACCCTGCGCTGTGCTGGCTGCGATGGAGACCTCTACTGTGCCCGCTGCTTCCGGTGGGTACGGGTGGAGCGTTCTAAGGGTAGATTGATCTTGCCTGGAGGGATGCCAAGATCTCTGCCATTCACCCCTTTGCTCCCCAGGGAGGGCCACGATAACTTTGATCTTAAAGAGCATCAGACTTCTGCATACCGCCCCCGAACTGCTGGCCGAGAACACTGAGGAAAACCCTGATGACCTCCTGAGGTGGCAATGCCATGGCAGCCAGCGGGCTGGCATGGCCACCTGGGCCTAGTCTCGGCATCCAGTGGGAGAGCAGATTTGGCTCTACGGATGGTAAACACATCTCTTTTGAGCTTCACGGTCCTTGTAAGGAAGAAAAAGTCCATTGAAGATAATGACTCGCCGGGCGGTGGTGGTGCAGGCCTTTAATCCCAGCACTCAGGAAGCAGAGGCAGGCGGATCTCTGTGAGTTCGAGGCCAGCCTGGTCTCCAAAGCGAGTTCCAGGAAAGGCGCAAAGCTACACAGAGAAACCCTGTCTCGAAAAAACAAAAAAAAAAAAAAAAAAAATGACTCTTAGAGGAGCCAGAGGAAAGGAAGAGTAAGGGCCTTCCTCCTAGAGGCTGGCCTGAAACTGAGAGGCAGATGGGGAAGAGCAGACTGAACCTAAGGAGGAGCCCGGAAACCTGGTTCCAGGGCCCAGCCCTGGCCTTTAGTGGATCTAATAAAAATAAGTTGTTCAGTCATTGGCCCCAGATTTGTTTGTCTGTACTGGGGATTGAACCCACGGTCTTGTACATGCTAGACAAGGACTCTACCACTGAGCTGTAGCCCTAGCTCCAGACTCTTTTTATTTGTGAGTTTGTTTCTGGCAGTACTGGGGATTGAACCCATACCTTATACATGCTACATGCATGCTCTTCCATTGACCGGTACCTCCAGGCACCCAACACCATCTATATCCAGAATCCTGTGGCCCCTGAGCCCGAGGCCTGTGAGAGGTGCTAATAACACAGTAAGCTAGAAGCAGATTCCTGTGGAATTCATGAGAAGGTGTAAGCTCCCAGCAAGGACAGTCCCCCATCCTGGTGGTCTCATGCCAAGTAAGTATGAATATTCATCTTAGTGAATTGTGCCTTCTCCTCAGGACAGCTCAGCTTAGCCATAAGACCCTTCCATGTAGGATGTCTGTCTCTCTAGTACTTAAGTAGTGAATGTAGGAACACTGTGTACATGCCCTGCTTCCTACCTTGATCACAAAGGACCTACCTCCTGGCTCCTGTCCCATCTTGCCTTCCTCAGAGATCCAATATCTGTCTTCCAACAACTTTGCCCAGCCCCTGGCACTCCCTTTCACTCTACATATCCTCTGCTCTGTCCTCCTTTTCCACATTCACTGAGGGCAGAGACTGATGTGGGTGAGTACCATCTAGAGATCCGTGCTACACTATGAGTGGAGGAGGGGTCAACCTCCTTGAATGCTCCAGATCCAGCGAGGTGCTTCCTGTTGCCTCCTCGGTGAAATTCAAAACTTATCTTTACCAGTTGGGCCCCTCTTGTTGGTGATGCCAGGGGGCTGTGTGCTTTATGCACACGGCCTCTGGGCCTCACTCTCCCAGTCTCTTCAAAGCCAGGCTGTGATCTCCATCTTTGAATTCCCAACACCTGTCGGCATTGGGGGTGGGATGCGAGTGGTAGGTGGATGGATGGATGATGCGGGCACAGCCAAGGCCCTTAGGATGCTCGTCTTCCAAGATGTCACTTCCCTCTCCCTTCCCCCAGCATAGATACACACCACACTCCACACACTCAGCTGGTCTCCTAAAGTTTTTATCCTGGCTGCCAAGGGAAGCATTAGGCACCAGCCACAACTGACTCACAGAGAGCCTAGCAGAGAGAGCCCAGCAGTAGCTGCACACACACTTGAGCTGTACAAGTGTCTCTCCTTGTCTTCTGCATCCCTTGTCTGTATTGAAGACCTTTCAGCCAGCATCCAGGTCAGGGCTGAGGCTACAGAAGTTCTGTCGGCTACAGATGGTCTCTCCAGCATTATTTCGAAGGCCTGCTGAGTCTCCGAAGTCTCTTGAGTTGACTGAGCAGCTCAGAGATAAAAGGCTGAGGGAGAAAGAGCAGTGAGATGAAGCAGGAACTCACAGTTACCTTGCTGCTCTCCCCAATCCGTCTTGGAATGTCCCCCAGAGCAAAAAAAGGCAAGAGTTATCAAGGGCCAAGCTTTCCTTTCAGAGGCTCCTCTTATCCCATTAGGCCTCCTCCCACTGCAGAAGCAGAATATGCCTTACCTCTCTGTCGGAGGGGCAGTCTTGGAGAATGGCCTGGGTGAAAGAGAGCCAGGTGAGCCGAGACATACGACTTCCCCACAAGCGCCCGTCAGCCTCCCAAGATCCCTCCCCTGTAACTTGGTTCTCTGCAGCTGGCAGTTGGCTCGGTTGGTTAGGGTGCTGCCGGAAGTCGGTTCATGACACCCAGGGAAGCAGGCCCCAGGCTCCCAGCCTACCTCCAAGTGAGTCCTCTGCTCCTCTGTGGATAGTTCCATGAGAGCTTCCAGATCAATCTCGGGCTCCGAAGGAGTTTCTTGACCCTAGTTCAGAGTAACGGAGAGATCTGACCACCTGGTGCTAGAACGGCAGTTACTGACAAGGACTTGCCCATCTCCACCTTCATCTGCGGTCTTCCATAGTGATCCCCTCCTCAGCGTACTCAATGCCCATTGATTATTCTGTCCAATAAGCGTTTACACAGCACCTACGATGTTCTACCCAAAAGCGGGAAGAGATACTCGGGAAGAGTGACTTCCCCTGTGACTGCAATGTCAGTACTTAGGCAGAGGAAAGCAGATCATGAGTCCCAGAGCAACCTAGACTTCAGAGGGAGACCTTGTCTCAGACAGGAGGGAGACTGGCTGGGGAGAGGCTCAGTGGATGAGGGCACTGGCTGCTCTTCCAGAGGACCTGAATTAGACTCCCAGCACCCACATGGTGGCTCACAACTGTCCGAGTGTGGTGATGGACACCTTTAATTCTAGCACCTGGGAGGCAGAGGCATCTCTTGAGTTTGAGGCCAGCCTGGTCTACAGAGGGAGTTCCAGGACAGCCAGGGCTACACAGAGAAACCCTGTCTAAAAACAAAAACAAAAAACCCCACCAAAACAACAAACAAACAACATAAAAACTCCCCCAAAATAAGATGGGAGCTTGGGAGCTGGGCGTGGTGGTGCATGCCTGTAATCCCAGCATCTGGGAGGTAGAGGCAACAGGATCAGAGTTCAAGACAACCCTTGGCTATATGGCCACTTCAGTGCTAGTCTAGGCTACATGAGACCCTGTCTAAAGGGCATGGGAGAGCTAGAAGAGACTGGCTGCTCTTCCAAAGGATCCAGGTTTGATTCTCAGGACTCGCACTGTGGAAGCAGAGAACCAGCTCCCACAAGTTGTCCTAGGATCTCTATATGTGCACCTCAGATGTGTAGATACATACAAATAAATAGATGTTACTTACAATTTAAACAGGCCTGGGGCATGGCAGTGAGTGCTTGTAATCCCAGCACTGGAAAGGTAGAGACAGGTAGATCTATAAGGCTTGCCTCTGGCCAGCCTGGCTTACTTGTGAGTGTCAGGCCAATGAAAGACCCTGTCTTTTGGTGGGGGAAATGCCCAGTGTGGTGGCTCAGCCCATTAATCCCAGCACTCAGAAGGCAGAGACAAGCAGATCCCTGAGAGTTCAAGGCCACCGTGGTCTACACAGCTAGCTCCAGACCAACTACAGCTGTATAGTGAGAAACTCTCAAAAAAACAGCAAAAGGGCCGGGCGGTGGTGGTGCACGCCTTTAATCCCAGCACTCGGGAGGCAGAGGCAGGCGGATCTCTGTGAGTTCAAGGAGTCCTCGATAGCCCAAGACAGCCCCTAATTTGCTGTCCTTCTGTCTCAGCCTCCTGAGTCCTGGAATTATAGGTGTGTGCCACCATACCTAGCTGGGTATTTTATAATCATCGTTAAAAAAGTGTGTGTGTGTGTGTGTGTGTGTGTGTGTGTGTGTGTGTGTGT